GGGCGGGTCAGGAGAGGTCTGCCATGCCATGTGGTCACCTCCGGGGCAGGCAGGGATCGAACTCATGCGGAAGTGGCTTTAGCTTCTCTGCAGTGCTTTAACCCGCTGCGCTACCAGGGAAGGCCCTATAGATATATATTTTAAAAGATTTATTTATTTATGCACACAGAACTGGGGTACAGGCCAGAGGTGCAGGGACAGTGAGAGGATTCACCACAGACAAGAGTGGGGAACAGAACAGGTAGATCGACAAAGCACAGTGCTGAGGGGAGCAGTGGGCAGTCAGGAGAGGTCTGCCGCGCCATGCGGATTACCTCCAGGGAAGGCAGGGATTGAACTCATGCTGAAGTACCTTTAGCTTATTAGTGCTGTGCATTAACCCACTACGCCACCAGGGAGGACCCCTCAAGGTGTATTTTTAATGGCACGTCTTTCTTATTACAAGGTTGAGAAGGTAGCTCATTCTAACGATAAATTTGATAATATTTTTGTATTTGAAGGGGGACTATGGATGTTTCATTTTTTCCCATTTCCCAGATGGCGTATGCCATAATTAAAGTAAAGAAGGGGGTCATCAAAAACATCCTGACAATCTAGGCATGAGCAGTAGTTGTCATTCCTTATCAATGTATCTCAGAATCTGGATGATAAGCTGTTTATCCAGTTTATTATGATTTCCTAGAATTTCATAGGCATTTACTAACTTTATGGTGAGAAAGTTTCTTCCTTTGAAATCATAGAACTATGATTCTAGAAAGGGACTTTATTAATCTTATTTCAGTGTTCACATTTTACTGATAAGGAAATGAAGATTCTAACAAAATTACACGACTTATGTAAGGTTCCCAGAGCTATTGAGTTGCAAAAGTCAACACCGGAAGGAAGCCCCAACTATTAACTCTTGGTCTGGTTTTTTTTCATTAAGCAGTACTGACTTTAAAATGAGTCAGGTTAATGCACATTTGTTGATTGTTGCCTAAATTTAATTGTCTTTGTTCAGTTTCTCATGTGTCATTTATTGGTATTTGGGGATAAGTAGTGTGTGCTTTGCTCTTTCTTAAAATACATTCTATTGACTCCAACATTCTTTATATATAAACTATTCCACTTAAAAAAATCTAAGACGTCAGTGTTTCCTTGGCAACATAAACTTGGACACATCTTCATGAGATCTATATACATCTTTCCTCATTAATTTTGTTAGCACTGTGGGCAGTAATTTTATCCTTTCTGAACAGAGTAAGCATTAAAAATGGACGAAGGGGAGGGAAGATGGAAGATACAAAAGACGAAAGGGAGATAAAGACTTAATTGGATTTTCCCTAAATTATAAGAAAACAAGATGATTTTATCATTAAATAAAGGATGCTGTGTTTCAGTTAATCTACTTTTTTTCTGAATTGTATTACCAGTCTTGATATTGAAAGTAGTTTTAAAAATATGAATTACTTATTTCCATAATATGCACTAGGACCTTTATATTTTCTAGTTTCCACTGACCTGTCACATTAATAGCACATGCTGAGAGTTGAAGTGATACTCCTTTTTGAAAGGTGTGATTAGTAGAAGGGAAGGAATGTGGAGGTTGCCAACTCATTAGCATCCCTAGCTTATTTCAGTTCTCAAGGAAGCCATTTTCTTCATCTTAGACTTTTATAGATGTGGGATGAAATTAATTTTGGAAAAAGCTAAGCCAAGTGCGAAATCCCATAATTTTCTTGTGACATCATTTAAGGAAAATTCAAAATTTGGTTTTCAGAAAGTGATAGAAGTGAAATTTTGTTTTTATGTGAAATAAAATAAAATAAATTTTGATTAGTTTGTTAATTTTCTAAAAGGTGTAGCCTGAGTCCAGTTCAAGCTGTTTAACAAAATTGTTACTGTTTTTTTCTGAATCTCACCTGTCAGGTGTAGGGAACACCCCAAAAGTTATTAATTCAGCATACCTTATTTCAGTTTCCATTTCTTTTCTTAATCATAAAATACGTATAACATTTAAAATTTTTTAACACTCTAACTATTTTAAAGTCTACAATTCAGTGACATTAAGTAGATTCACAGTGTTATGCAATCATCACCTCTTTACTTCCAGAACCTTTTCATCATTTCAAGGAGAAGCTCTGTACCCATGAAACAAGAACACCCCTTCCCACCTATGTGTCACAGTTGCTGGTAACCTCAGTTCTATTCTAGGTATCTCATGAAAGTGTAATAATACAGTATTTGTTCTTTTGTGTCTGGCCTATTTTATTTAGCATAATGGTTTTATTTATGCTTGGTCCATGTTGGAGAGTGTATCAGGATTTTTTTCCTTTTTAAGGCAGAATAACATTCCGGTGTGTGTGTTTGTGTATGTGTGTCTATGTGTTGGATAAACCAGACTTAAGAAAAAATCCTTTCATCTTTTGATGGACATGTAGGTTGATCTTTCTTTTCAAATACTGCTATTGTGAACATTGATGTATAAGTACTTTCTGTTTGAGTCACTTTCTCTCTAATTTTTTTGGATTTATAGCTAGATGTGAAATTGTTGGATTCTGGTAACTTTATGTTTAACTTTCTCAGCATTTACCAAACTCTTTCCCACAGTGGTTGAAACAGTTTACATTCCCTCCAGTAATATATAAGGGTTCCAAGTTTCTCCTTGTTCTTGCCAATAGTTTTCTATTTTGTTTTATATTATGTGTGTATGTGTGTGTATATATATAGATTTAAATGTGCGCATGTGTGTATAATAGAATTATATATATAATTACATATATAAAACAACATATATAATTATACATATAAACATGTTTTTATAGGATTATATATAAAACATATGCAAACACATGTATATTTATGTGTGTATAATTATATATGTATATACAAAACACATACAATTATATATAAACACATGTTTTTATATGTTTATATAAACACACATGCAAGCATATGTGTGGAAACATAACACACACATATAATTATATACAAATACATATGTATAAGCTTCTATAAACACACATGTAAACATATGTAAACACATAAACACACAAACACATACAAAACATATAAACACACACATATACTTATATATGAATACATATATAACACACAAAACATAAACACATATATAATTGTATATAAGCACATAGTTATTATATAAATACATATTATAGAGTTATATATAAATTATATATAAATATAACTATATATATACACCTTATATATAAATTATATAAATGCAGAATTGTATATATATAAATATATATAATTTGTTTCTGATAGCAGTTGTCCTATTGGGTGTGCAGTGTATCTCTCTGTGGTCAGGCCCTAGTTCTTGACCCTGGTGAGATTATATGAAAATGTTGACCTGCTAAGTTTAAATTTTTGGTAATTGGGAATACTGGTTTAGCACAGTTCATTAATTTTTCTTTGTAAAGGGAATGTTCAAAATTTATGAAATTTTTATTCCATCAACAAATTTATCTTTCTCCATGGAATTTGAGGGCTTGGAGTGTAAAGGATGGTTTTATAGTTTTGTTTAAAATTTTTATTTTAAAAAAGCTATAAAATTTGAAATGTTTTATAAGAATTAGATTGCAATTATTTTTATTTGATAGTAATCCCTTTGTAATAGTGCAATACTAACTAAATATAATTGCTGTATAGCACTGTTTCTATATAATGATGCTAAAAATCCAGTTTTCATGAACATCTGTGAGTTTTTCTGAATATTGTATTTTTTAATATGATGTCAGTTGTTACAGTTCAGTTTTTTTGCTCAACCTTCAAAATGGGAAAAGAAATTAGTTTTCATGGTTATAAGGACACTTAACTTTTTTTGTATGTTAAGTATCTTTGCTCTTAATTAACTAAACTTCTTTCATTTCTGGACTTAAATTTGAAAACTATTTTCTTGATTAAAGAGAATCTGACTTTCCAGTTCATGTACATGGTTGTTATTATTAGTGAATACAAAAGAATTGTGCTTGCTGCAGTAATTTAATAACAATCCCTCTGGAATAGGTTTTCTCAATCTTGGCACCATGGACATTCTCTGCTGGCTCTCTCTTTATTGGGGGAGGACGGCTGTGTGTGCGGTGGAATGTTACCAGCACCTTGGGCCTCCATCCAGAAGATGCCAGTAACATTCCCACCTACTGATCTTGTGACAACTAGAATCTGAGGAGGATAATAAACAGTACTGTTTTTTTAGGACTTGTTTTGTAGTGGG